TTGGTTGCAGTTTGTCCCCGGCCCTGGTTGGTCGTGCGGGTGGCAGCCACTCGATGTGTCCCTTTCACGTCAATGTTTCTCTCTCTCTCTTCCTCCCACACTATCTGTGCAAAAAATCGAAAAATGTCCTCGGGTGAGGATAAAAAAAATAAAAATAAAAATCTCATCTTGGTTTTAATCAGAATTGTTGTAACCCAGGAGAATCAACCTCACTCGGACACAAAGTAATTTTGAATATTAGGAGCTTTATTACCTGTGCAGGGACTGCAGCCAACCTACATAGAGAACTGCAGCCCCAAGCTCAGGGGTGGGTTGCTTATATAGGACAGGGGTTACTAAAGAGTTTAGCAGAGCAAGCAAGCTATGTGCACAGAAGCAGATATCAGCAGTTAGTAGCTGTACAAGTTGTTTATTTTATATTTCTTAACATTTACTAGACCCTAGCCTTGAATGTCTCATTGCCCCGCCTGGCATCTCCTGATTAGTTAAGCTCATGGTCAATACCCTTGTGGTCATGGCTGATGCATACCTTCCTCTTCAAGAATTTTTGCAAAAAGTTCAAGGAACCCAGGAGAGGTTCCTTCTTCTAGCAGATGGAGAATTACTGGGTTATAACAAGAATCACAGAAAAATTTGTGAGCAAGTAAAGATCATAATAAAGAAAAGGATGCTTGAGATTTGGACTGTGGATGGCTTTTGTTAAAGCATATTAATCAAACAGGATCTGTTCTCTTGTGAATCTGTAATAGGGTATATAACAAGTTGGCAAAAGTTACAAGGAGATAGCCCTTAACTATATTAGCTCTTCTCAAGTTTTATCTTACATTCATGATTCAGAAACAAAAACCACAGTAAGAATGCATTCCACAGACACAATTAAAATGTTTATAGAGACTACATAAGTGGATGGGATAAAGCTACAGGTATAAGGACCATGTATGTAGACTCACAAATAAAACAGAATAAAAAGATTCTGTTAGAGAAATGACAAAAGTTCTACTCTGATCTATCCACTCTTAAAGCAGTGATTCTATTAAGTGCGGTCTGTGGATTAAATAGGAGAAAGTTCCCCAAGACATTTTCAAGGGGTCCATAAGATCAAAACTATTTTCATAATGTGAAGGCATCATTTGTCTTTTTCACAATGTTGACATTGTACCACTGGTGAAACTGATGACACCTTTGTGTGAGTCAAGGCTGTTGCAGGTTCCATCCCCACCCCATCAGGGCACATGTGGGAGGCAAACAATCCATGTTTCTCTCTCCCACCCCTTCTCTCCTTCCCTTCCATTCTCAAAAAAAAAATAAAAAATAAAAAAATAAAAAATAAATAAAATAAATGGCAAAAAGTATTCAGGTGAGGATTAAAAGAAAAAGACTATTCTAATGACATCAATGAAATAACATATTATTTTTAATATTGTTTAATGCAATGTGTCAATAGATGGAATATCTGTGTAATTCAGAACAAAGGCATTTTTCCAAATAATCAATGCATGATGTTACAATATGGATAAAAGATTTATTCAAAGTGAAAGACTAATAAAATTTAATGTAACAAAAATATGAACATTTCATGACATGGTTTCAGATTCTACACTGAAACTTTTAAGAAACTACACTTAAGTTTTGGTATAGTATGAAAGAAAAATACCCCAAATTAACTGAAGAAGATTAAAATAATTCTTTTTCTCCAACTACATTGCTATGTGAGGCTGGATTTTCTTCACAGACCTTTACCAAAGCAATATATTACAACAGACAGGACACAGAAACAGGTATGAGAATCCAGCCATCTCTATTAAGCAAGATAGTAAAGAGAATGGCAAAATTATAAAATGATGCCACTCTTTTTTTCTTTAAATATAGTTATTTTTCATAAAAATGTTATCATGCATTGTGTTTACTTTTTACTTTAAAGTGAAGCATTACATACTTTTAAAAGTTTTTTTATGACAACCTACATTAAGCTCTTTGAGGCTCTCAATAATTTTTAAGAGTTTAAGGAGTACTGAGACAAAAAAAATTGACAACTTTTGCTACAAAATAACAATACCAACATTCACATTTGCTGGAAATTCTGTGCTTTAAAAAACAATTCTTCCACCCTGGCCAGTTTGGCTCAGCGGTTGGAGCAGCAGACAGGGGACCAGTGAGTCGCAGGTCTGATCTGGTCAAGGGCCCGGTACCCGATACCTTGGTTGCAGTTTAGCCCGGACCTTGGTCATGCGGGAGGTAGCCAGTTTCTCTCTCCTTCTCTGTCTCTCCCTCCCTCCCACTCTGTCTGAAGATGGATGGGAAAATATCCTCCGGTAAGGATTTAAACCAATTAAGAATTTAAAACAATTCTTCCTCCTCCTAATCAAGGGACCAGTCTCCTCTTTATCCATCACGGGTTCTATAGTTTATTACCATTTGGTAACTGTAAATGTTCATCCTCTTAAACTGGATCCATAAATAAGTTTATAGTGTAAACAAAAACGTGACGTATTGTATTCTTTCCAGCAAGCATGCATATTACATATTTTTCTGAAAATACTGCTCACTGTAATTGATCAATGTATAGAAAAATCTCTAAAATTTCAAAAAAAGTTGGCCTGTCTCTGCATCCAATAGGCATTTTCCTCTACAATATTACTCCGACGCTTGGAAAATGAGTCTGCAAAAGAGAACAGAACACACTTCACCGGGTGGGTCCTTAAGTGACTGAGGTACAGAGGAGGGTACAGCTGCCTAAAGCGACTGATGACTGATCTCGGCCCCACCTTCTGGGACTGCAGAGGAACTCGCTGCGATGGTGGGAGCCTTGTGTATCTGTGCTGCCAGCACAGTGGCCACCGGCCACATCAAGCATTGGACATGTGGCAAGTGCGACTCAGGAGCAGCATTTCTGACATGCATTTTAGTTACGTTAACTAGTCACGAGTGGCGAGGGCTCCCAGTAGAGGTGAACGCCGGTTCGAATCAGGACGCCCCCATCCCACAGGCACCAGCTGGGGTAAAGTGGGGCGGACACAGTGGCGGAGGCGGGAAACCTCGTCCACCACACCACATTCCAGAAAAGTAACTCAACCGTGTGCAAGGAGGTTTCGGACTGGGACCCCGCGGCAGCTTGGAGCCCACCCCCGAGCGGGTGGCGCGGCCCGAGTCCCAGGAGAGGAGCCGAGCCTCCGGCCGGGAGGGCCGGTCCGTCGTCCCATCCGCGCGGGGCTGGCAGCGACCACCGGCGGCCGGGCCCGCGTCCTCCGCAGCACTAACCGCCTCCAAGACGCCGCTCTTCGGACCCACAGGCTCTCCCGGCGGCAACCCTCCTCCCCGACGCACCCGGGGCAGCAGGTCCCTGCGGCACTTTCAGACGCTCGCGCCAAAGCCGCGCTCCCACAAGTCTCGCGGTGACGTCATGACGCCGCACGCAGCGCGCGCGCCGCCCGGAAGTCAGGCTGGCCGCGCCGCCGCGCTGGGCTTGCGAGCACGGGGCCTGGTGGGGCTGCTCAGCAGGCGCTCGGGAGCTGGACGGGCGGCGGCTTCTCATGGAGCCTTCGGAGGGCCGCCCCGTGTCCACCCCGCGACTCCCGCCCCTTCGCGCGTCTCATGTTCGGGGGCCTCGCGCGGCCCGTGGTCTCCGACAGGCCTCTGTTCCGCCCCGAAGTCGCCAAACTTGGACGCCCAGGGTGGTCCTTGGTGGAGGAAGACCCGTTTCCGGCCGCTGCTCTCTGTGGAGGGGACCGGCGGGCACTGCAGCCAGAGGACTTCAGCTCTAGGCCTGTGGTGCTCTTAGGGATCAGGTTCAAGACCTTTGAGCCTGTCTCCCTGCCCGAGAAATGGGGAACATATGGTAACCCTTCCTGCGGTGTCAGCTGCTGCCCTCTGCAGGCTGCCCTGTGCCCTTTATATTCTTAGGGTACCGACCCACCCTGTGTGTGCCTGCCGTCCCCTCCAAACTGCCCTGGAAGGCAGGACTCTGTCCTCATCAGGCACAGGGTCTGACATGCCCCACCTTAATTCGGGTTTGTTTATGGCCTGGAAAGCCTCCCACTGCGTTCTGGAAGTGGGAGCTGCCCGTGGGCTCTGCTGCTTCTGAAAGGCTCCGGCAGTAAACAGCAGGAGCGACCTTGAATTAGAGAAAGTGTGGGCTCTACTTGGTTCCTCAGGTGTCGTTTCAGTTTGATCATAACCCTGAGCCGGAGCAGGAAGCCTGACTAATACAGAGAGTTATCAAAGCTTGTGATCACCTAGGTCTGAAGAGCAAAGGAACACAGGCCTGGGATCCTTAACAAACAATAGCTGCTTACTGAACACGGGAGTGCTTTGTGCCTCACACGCAGTAGCACATTTAATCTTATAATAATCCTATAATATGGTTAGTACTGTCAGATAACTTGCCTGGTATCAAGGCCCAGGTTTCAGTTCAAGTGGGTTTGACCTCAGATACTTAACTATCCTGCTATTAAATTTGAATTCACCTACAAAATCAGAACAATTTGCTTCCTCCATCTTTTTTTTTGGGTGGTGGTAGTCCTCACTAGGAGTGGACTGAACCTTTGGCATGTCATACAACTCTCTGAAGTATATTTTCTCTCACTGTAAACACCCCTGCCCCTGTATAACTTTATGCTCCGAGCTCCTCTGGTGTTTACTTTCATTAGCTCTGCCAAAATAATGTACTTTCCCCCTTACATTCTTCTAGTATAAGGCTGCTCACATATTTTACTCCTCATATTCATTTTGTTATATGCTTTAAAAAGGATCTCTAAAATGGTACATCATCATGAGAATAAATAACTGAATAGCTAATTATAGGATGTGTGTGAATAAGTCAGTAATGAAAAACAGCATTGAAAAGAGATTCAGGAGCAGCAAATTGAAGAGTCAGGAAAGAGCAATTCGAATCAGGTGGCAATTAGGCTTCTGTAGGTAGGTAGCTCTCTTCCCACTACCCTTCTCAATTAGGATAATAGACAGCAGCTCCACCAGAATCTGAAATAAATGGAGAAGCTAGGATGAATCTGAACCAACCAGACCAGGAGAAAGAAGGTCAGATGAATGTGGGAGGCAGGACAAGGGCACAAACTGTACCAGGATATTGCGCGAAGCCTAGACAGCAGATGGAGCGCTTTGTCCAAGTTCCCCAGGGCCTGTACCAGGCAACACACTATGGGAACACACTGTCTTTGGGCCCGCCTGGATTCTCTGACCAACAGCCTGACTGGAGGCAAAACACTGGTGCCCCTACTTTCCTGGCCAGGACCGGGATGGTGGTGCCTATAAATGCCTGGGCCTACTGCACTGACCCTTACAAGAGGGTGCAGCTTAAGGCCATTTTTTCCCAGATGAACCCCAGCCCAGGCCTGCAGTTGTGCAAGGCCAACACCAAAGAGGTGGGCGTGCAGGTGAACCTACGTGTGGACAGGTCTGTGCAGTGCTCACTGGGCCCTCTCACCCTGCGCAGCTGCCTTTCTTGGGGCTGCAGGGGCCCCAAGGCAGCCCTGCCAACCTGGGATGGCTATTCACCAGTGATGGGCCTTAGGGGCTTGATCCAGCTGCAGAAGAATGGGAAAGACAGGAAGGAGGAGGAGAGGAAGGAGCTTTCGAGTCTGGAAGGGGCCAGCCAGCAGCAGCAGAAGTCACCACCAATGCCAAGGTCACAACAGGACAAGCAGGAGCAACTCTGGCAGCAGGCCAAGGTGGGGGAGAAAGATGCCTCAAGTTCTGGGGAAAGACAGGGCAAGCAGGCCCAGGGAGATGCCCACCCACTCAGGAAACCCAGCTTCCAGGTGAACTTTGTCCTCCCCCTCCTCAGTCCTCTGTTAGCCCCTTCCTCTCCTTCCTCTTTTCTATTTCTGGGGCAATAAGAGCAAAATCTTCCCTGGTTCCCTCCCTTTATTTCATAAAGGAGAGGAAGTTCTGAAAACATGTATTAAAAATTGTTTTTAATACTTACCAAGGATTTTTTTTTTAAATCCTCACCTGAGGACATTTTTCTGCATTTATCTTCAGATAGAGTGGGAGGAAGAGATGGGGGAAGAGAGAGAAACATCAACATGAGAGAGATACATCGAGTGGTCGCCACCCACACGACCCCACCCGGGCTGGGGACAAACTGCAACGAAAGTACATGCCCTTAGTGGGAACCAAACCCGGTACTCCCTGGTCCGTAGGCCGATGCTCTAACCCCTGAGCCAAATCGGCCAGGGCCCAAGGATGTGTTAATTTATTTTAGAAAGAGAGACATCGGTTGGTTGCCTTCTGTATGTGCCCTGACCAGGTGTTGAACCAGCAACCTAGGTATGTGCCCTGACCGGGAATTGAGCCTGAAACACTTTTGGTGCACAGGATGATGCTCCAACCAACTGAGCAACCCAGCTGGGGGTGAAAACATGTATTTTCCATGACCTCTGTGTCTTATAACTTTTTGGAAATACGGTGCCACCGTTATTAATTGGGAATGCGAGACAAAGAAGGGTTTCAAGTCTGTGATATATGTGATCAAAATTTCATTCTGGGGAGACTGTGCTGGTGGCATTGTGGAAAATGGATTAAAAAAGTGTAAGAGACAGCAGGGAGAAGAATCCCAGAGTAATCCTTCAGAGATGAGACACGAAATTAATGTAGTAACCTTGAGAGCAGCTGTGAGTGAGGTTAAGGAGGCTTTTTGTGTTTCCTATACAAAGCCACAAGCAAAGAAAGATCTGGATTTTCCCCCTCTGGATAATAAAAGACACTTCCTCTTTTATTTGCAGTTTTTGGAACGAAAATATGCCTATTTTCACTGTAAAGATTGTAAGACTAGATGGGAGAGTGCTTATGTGTGGTGCATTTCTGGAACTAGTAAGGTGAGTAAAAGTGTATGGGACATGGAGGAGGGTGGGGAGGCACAGATGTTAAGTGGAGGAAAAATGTGATTCCTAATGGAGCGTGAGTTGATGCTGTCTCTTTCATCTTGGCATCCTCCGTGCCAGGAATATAATAGGAGCTCAGTAAATGAATGGAACTGACTGGATAGTCCGTATGACCTCCCGAGGCTGCTGACCCATGTCCTTGGTGTTTGTTCTATTGGGTTTGGTAGTTTTGTTGGACCAAACGTTAGATTATTTAGATGAACTCTTGTCCTTGTGTACATTAGGACTTTGTGTAATCATTTTATAGTTAGTGTATTTTGAACAGGTTTGGGCATTAGCACTAGGGAATTTCCACCGTCTGTCCACAGGTGGGGCAATAAGAGAAAGATTTAACTAAGATTGGCCTGTGAGAGACTTCTTTAGGCTAAGCTGGTTCCTCCCTTACTTTGAATTAGTTGTCAACATATTCAGTTGGGGAAGATTTCACTGTGTTTTCAGATTTTCCTGAACACTCAGACTTTGGACATCATAGATTTTGGTTTTGGTACAAGAACAGTAGGCTGGGGCTACACAGCTTCTTTCTCCTTTCACTTCATTTTGTAACTGTCTACACCTGGTCTATTTCATCAACTTCTATGAGCATTTGAGTTGGGGTTCCTAAGTCTAGAGGGAGAGGTGTGTTAAGGTCTGAATGAAAACATGACTTTTCACACTAGCTATTTACTATACCTGAAGGTAAATAGATTTTTTTTTAAATCCTCACCCGAGGACACTTTTACATTTATCTTGAGATAGAGCAGGAGGGAAAGAAGAAGGAAGAGAGAGGGAGAAACATCGATGTGAGAGAGACACATTGAGTGGTTGCCACCCACATGACCTCACTGGGGCTGGGGACAAACTGCAACTGAGGTATGTGCCTTTAGTGGGAACTGAACCTGGACCTCTCTGGTCCGCAGGCCGACGCTCTAACTGCTGAGCCAAACTGGCCAGGGCAGGTAAATAGATTTTTAAACTAAACTAAAAGCACTTTCCTTTTTTTTGTCAGAAGAAAAACAGTGGATTTAATTCAAACCCTCCAAGACACTGGGATGCAAAGAACAACTCATAGAACTCGTCCTCAAGACGTTTACACTGACAGCAGTGATGCAGACACGGTGTGCTTTGGTGACAGTCAGTGGCACCTGTGGCACAGTTGTGGTGCAGAAATAACATAGGAGGGGAAGAGTAACCTTGGGTGGAGGTGGGGGGGGGGCATTGTGATATCCAAGCAAGATTTTAAAGCATGAATAGTTCACCAAGTAAGGTATGGGGAAAGTGTGCCCAAGGAAGTGCACAAAGCCCAGAAATCACATGTATTGGTGGTAACCACGAGTAATTTGAAGTTCACATGGGGAGACACTAGAGGGAAAGAAAAAGAAAAAGAAAAAGCAGGGGTCATGGATGAGGGCAAAAGGAGAGGCCGAGGGCTTGGCCCGCACAGTGAATAACATTATAATAGCTACTTCCCCTTGAAGACTTTTTCTGTGGTACTTTATGAACATTATTGAGTAGTTGTCAGAATTGTAGGAAAAGTAAGAGCAGGATATAGATTTTACAGGTAAGGAAAATGAGGTTCAAAGAGTAAGAAAAAGTGACTGAGCACTGGAGGAACTGAAGACCTCAGGGTAGAGGTTGGACAATCGCGGGGTACAAGGGAAGGCACTGGGTTACTTAAAAACTGGGAGCCTAGGGTACAAATAATGTTGGATTAAAAAAGGACAAATTTCTCTTTAGGTTTATTTCAAACAACTCTGTTGCAAATGCCACAAGAGTTTTAACCCTTATCGGGTAGAAGCAATCCAGTGTCAGGTAAGCATATAGAACACTTCCTTTGTGTCTATGTTTCCATTCTTAACATGATGCTTTTGTGGCAAAATGTTTGGAGTTGATAGAATTGGATATTTGTGTAGGAGTCTTAGGTTTTCTATGTGTTTGAATTTTTATAATAAATTTTAAGGAAAAAAGCATAAATTCTGGGGTTTTTTTTAGAGGGGAGAAAGATTTAATCTTAAGTTGCCTAATGTGGTGTGCTTATGTGTGGGGTTGTCTGTATTTTCTCAAACACCCTGTGTATAGTTTGGATGTGGTAATTTAATGGGTAACCTTCATTAAGCTTTACTATGTGCCAAGCTTTGAGCTAAGCGCTTTACACGCATTATCTGTTATTGATTTGTTATTGTATTTTTTAGTGCCAGAATTTTTATGTCTTTTAAAAAAATGACTTTTAATTTTCTGCTGGAAATATTCTAATTTATTTAAACATTAAGCAAAATTATCGTAAAATATGTATCAGATAGCTCCATTCCCTATGGTTCTGTTGCTATCCTCTTTATTTTCCTTGGTTTTCAAGTGTGCTATCCATTTCCTCATGTACCTAGTTATTTTTTATTGAGTGATACATATTGTATATGAAAAATTACAGTAATAATTGAGGCCTAGGATAGTGTCTTCTCCACAGAAGATTTGTTTGTCTCTGGCAAGCAGATCGGGACACCAACACTTTCAGGTCACTCTTCTCTAGTCAGAGTTGAGCTGTTTGAAACTGGGCTTTGGCGTCTGTGCAGGCTTGTCCAGTTTTGGCTTATCCTTATTCTTAAGGTGTGGCCTTTCAGGGTTTCAATACAAAACTTGAGTTGTTTACTAGGGTTATTCCATTTTGGAATATTTAAGATTATCCCTCTGTTAAACCCATTTTCAGATTTCTACTATCTTTCACCTCTTCCAGAATTGACAGATACCTTTAGAGAGAAAATAGTCCCAAAGTCAGACTCACCTGTCTTTCTGGGTTTCCTTCTCTAATGCTTGGATAATTCTCTGGTGCCTTTACATAGTTCTTTTTAAAAAATTATTATTACTTTGTTGCTCAACTTTTCCAGTTGTCCTAAGCAGGAGGCTTGGTCAGAAGTACCAATCCATTATTGCCAGAAACAGAGGCCTACCTTTAGATTAAACCCTATTTTTTTTTTATTGAGTCTTTTCTTCTTTACAAGGGTATTGTAAGAATTAAATAAATTTATCTATATAACTGTGAATCAGTGCATATAGTAAGCACCATGCTAGTGTTAGCTACTAGAACTTTTCTATAAGGACACATACTTATCAGTGGAGAGTGGAACATGTAAATGTAGTACAATATTAAATCATATTTAAGACTGTTGTTTGGAAAATGAAAATGCCTATTTCCACAATATAAAAGGTAAAGCTTGACTTACTCTGTTTGGCTATGGAGATATGCCTAAAACAGAGCAGTGATTATCAATTTTAAAGATTAGCAGGGTTGGGAGGGTAGACCAGGGCAGTATACCAGTTTCCATGGGGTGGAACTTTATCAGAAGACAGAATGGGATCATGGTTAAAAACACTTTAAATTCTAGTAAGTTCAGGCATGTCCAAAAGAAAAAGAAAATTTAATTTCCTCTAGTTACAATTAATACCCACCCTCCCAGTTGTAACAACCAAAATATCTCCAGACATTGCAAACTGTTTGCTAGTGGGTAAATACCGTTGGTTGAGAATTACTGTGCTGGTGTTTTTAAATGTTCCAATCTAGATTATCAAATCACTAATACTCACCCACTGCCCCTCACTTCCACTGGCCTATACATGTGAACACCTACATAGTGAAGACACTCTACAAAACTCCAACTTATTTTGTAGAGTAATTTTCTCTTACATTAGATTTTATTGATTGGCCCAGTGATATTTTCTTAAACATCATCTTTGATTTTTATCTTGACAAATGTATGGCATTTAATGGGCTACGAGTGCTTTTGTACAACTTGGTCTTGGACTTCTCCTAAGATTCAGAGGAGGAGGAAGATATCTTGGAGGGGGTGGTGGGGAGAAGTATTTTGGTTTGAGGATTACATTTGAAACACTAATTTGATCATATGTCCAAACTGTTCCTTGTTTTCTAAAGACTTGTTTAAAGTCCCGTTGTTCCCACCCTCTAAAGAAAAGACACATCGATCTGAGGAGGCCTCATCGACAGGAACTATGTGGCCGCTGCAAAGACAAGACATTCTCCTGTGGCAATATTTACAGCACTAAATACATCATGTGACAGGCAGTATGATTTGTACAGGTCACCCTAACTCTTCTTGTCACTTACTGCACTGTTCCTTTTTTGCACCTTAGCTCTGACTGGGTTTTGGAAAATGAATTAGGTTTTTGTACTTTTTCTAGGTGGTATTGCATTGTATGACTGGAATGAAATAAATGCATGTAAAATAGACCACGAAGGCACATTAATTGGTGAATCCAGGGTAAAACCATAAAAAAAATAGGGAAATGGTACATACTGGCACTTTGTCACTTATATGAAGGGAGCAATGAAGAGGAACAGTATTCATTTGACAAGCTTTATAAGCCGGGTGTTCTCAGCACTGGGGTTACAGAGATGTCCAGGGGCAAGGTCCTTGCCCTCAAGTACACATAACAAGGATAGAAACACTTCCATAGCACATAGTAAGCACCAGGCATTGCTGTCACTCATCACAGCAGCCACAGGAAGTAGAGACTATAACACCCCTTCTTAACAGATGAGGAGAGGTCATAGGATAGAGTCAGGACCCAGATGGACGAGGGATTTGCCTCAGGGCCTTCACTACATTTCTGTTTTCTCTCAGATTCAGAGGTGGTAAGTGCTATAGAGGAAACGGGTGCAATGACAGTGAGTGACCCTTTAGATGGTGTGGTTGGGAAGAGGCAACATGACAATGGGGACCTTCAGGGTGAGGGAGCTGGGAGAAAAGAAGATGGTTTTGATCCCAGGGAACAGCAAGAGCAAAGGCCCTGAGGGGGTGGGACAATGTACTTGGTATGTCCCAGGAATAGGAGCCCTCGAGGCTAATGTAGGGTGTAGGGGGGAGAAGACAGAACTCATGTCACACAGGTTTCCTTCAGCCATGGTCCAGCACATGGCAGCCCTTGAAGGAGTTTCAACAAAGCAGTGACATCAGCTCTTTAGAAAACTCAACTGCTGCTCTGGCTGGGTGGGTCACTTGGTTGGAGTATTGTCCTGTGCACCAAAAGGTTGTGGGTTTGGCCCTGGCTAGCTTGGCTCAGCGGTTAGAGCGTTGGCTTGTGGGCCAAAGGGTCACGGGTTTAATTCCAGTCAGGAGCACATACCTCGGTTGCGGTTCGTCCCTGGCCCTGGTCAAAGTCGTGCGGGAGACAGCCAGTCGATGTGTCTCCTCACATTGATGTTTCTCTCTCTTTGTCCCTCCCTCCCACTCTATCTGAAGATAAATGGAGAAGTGTCCTCGGGTGATGATTGAAAGAAAGGTTGTGGATTTGATTCCCAGTCAGGGCACATAGCTAAGTTGCAGGCTCGATTCCTGGTCAGGGTGTGTATGGAAAGCAACTGATCAATGTTTCTCACATGGATGTTTCTCTCTCCCTTTCTCTCTCTAAAAATGAATCAAAACATATCCTCAGATAAAGATTTAAAAATAAGGAAAGAAAACTCACTGCTGTGAGGGAAGACCAGGCAGCATGGAAGGAAGGAGAGCAGTTAGGAGGTTAATGAACATATGAGCAAAATGATGGCTAGGTCAAGGGTGATAGCACTGGAGATGGAGAGAAGTACTTCCATTCAAGATGTTTGGAGATGTAAAGAACAGGATTGGAAGTGGATGATGAAAAAATAAGTGATGACTTGCAGATTTCTGCTTTGAGCTATATGGGAGATGGAATTGAGAGGAATAACAGGAGAATGTTCTTGGGTTAGATGACCTAACGTCCAATCCTGGCTATGGTGCTTAAGAGATATATGATTATGGGCAACTTTCTCTGTCTCAATTACTCTTCTGTAAAATGAGGATGATAATGGTACCTGTCTCTGGGTGGTAGAGTGAGCTGATACATGTTAAGCACTTGGGATAGAACCTGGAATATTTTGAGGGCTCAGTAAACTTAGCTGTCTTATTTTGGTGGGGCTGTGTAGTGATGTGGGGAAGGGCTTCTCTTTCATCATAATAAGTTGGAAATATTTGAGACATTCAGATGGAAATGTCCTGTAGGCTATTGAGTTATGAATCCAGAATTTAGGAAGGACATCAGAGCTAGAGAGAGAGATTTGGAGATAAAAAAAAATGAAAGCCATGGACCTAGATAGGATCACCTAGAAGGAGAGTACAGCACGGGACTCTCGGGCACCAACATTCAGATCAATGATTCTGTGACTTGAGTGTCCTGGCAGTTATCTGGTGGTCTTGTTTGCTGGAGATTCTGATCCAGTAGGTCTGGGGTCTGAGTCTGCAGATCTGACAAGCTTCCAGATGCTCTCGCACCACTGGTCCCGTAGCTCACACTCTGAGTAGCAGGAGATTAGAGGTTAGATAAAAGAATGGCAAAGGAGGATAGGAAGAGGATGGTGTCATGAAAGCTAAGATGAAACAGTATTTTGAGGAGGGAGTGGCTGACCGAGTCAAATCCTGTAGTGAGTGAGAAGAATGAAGACAGCCATTGGTTTGGTGACGTAAAGAAACTTGAAAAGAAAAGCTTGAGTGAAATGGTGGGAATGGGCGTCAGAATTTATAGTCAAGACAGTGAATAGAGATAATACTTTCTAGAAGTTTTGCTGTTAAAACAAATTGGTGATAGTGAGAGGGGACTTGTGAGAAAGGGAGGTACTAAGTTCGTATATTCACGGGAATAATTTAGTAGAGAGAAGCAGGGAGAGGACACTCAGACAGGAGCGAAGCCCTTGATAAGGGAGAAGGGATGGATTCAGAGAAAAGTGGAGTGATTAGGCCTGAGTGGGAGCAGCGATATTCCTTTATTGTAAAAGGATGGAGCATCTAGAACATGGGCTAGTGGGATAAAGACTTGTTTTATTTGATCAGTGAATGGTGAAGCAAAGTAATCAGCTGAGGCAGGTAGGAAGGGAAAGGGGTGGGAGACTGAGGAGGGAGAGCAAGGTGTGAAATAATCATCTCAGGTATTGGGAATGTGAAATTAATGTGATCAGGGAGATGAAATTAATTGTAATTGAAATAGTAATTAATTGGTAGTATCGAGAGCTCCTTTTGAGACTTGGCGCTGTTTGAGATGTGCTTGGTTGCAGTTGTTTTCCTATAGTGTCTCACTCAAGCAATTGCAGTGCAGGTGTGGACAGGGGAGAGCTCAGGTTTGACAACCTGAGAAAGACAGGAGAAGATATTTGTGAATGTCAGCCAGGGAGTGATTATAATCCATGGAATTTATTTATTTTGGGTTAAGTATTTTTTCTTTTTCTCTTTAAATTTATTGGGGTAACATTGACTAATAACATTACATAAATTTCAGGTGTATAACTTTATAATATGATATCTGCATACTCTGTTAGGTGCTTACCCCACAAAGTCTAGTTTCTTTTCATCACCATATTTTGACCCCCTTTACTCTCTATGTCCTCTCCCTTCCCCTCTGGTAACTACCATTCTGTTGTCTGTATCTATGTATTTGTCTTTTTGCTTTGTTCGTTCCTTTGTTGTTTTTTGTTGTATATGCCCTGTCCTTTTCTATCTGACTTATTTCACTAAACATAACACTCTCAAGATCCATCCATGTTGTCGCAAATGGAAATATTTCACCTTTTTTTTTTTTGGTGAACTGAGTAGTTTTCCATTGTATATATGTACCACATCTTCTTTAGTCATTCGTTGAAGGACATAGGTTATTATTTTTCACTCTTGATTTTTATTTCCTTCCTTCTACTGACTGTGAGCTTTGTTTTTTCTTCTTTTTCTATATCTGTAAGGTGTAATGTTAGATTGTTTATTTGGGTTTTTTCTTGTTTGTTGAGGTAGGCCTGTAACACTATATACTTTCTTCTTAGTACCGATTTTGCTGCATCTCCCAAAGTTTGGTATGTCATGTTTTCATTTTTATTTGTGTCTGTATGTTTTGATCTCTACTTTCATTTCTTCTTTGACCCAGTGGGTTGTTCAGCAGCATGTTATTTAATCTCCAGATATCTGTTGTTTTTCCTCTTTCTTGTTATACTGAATTTTTAGTTTCATATTGTTGCGATTGGAAAACACACTTGGTATGATGTCAGTCTGAAATTTACTGAGACTAGTTTTGTGCCCCCAAATATGATCTCTCCTGGAGAATGTCCCATGTGCACTTGAGAAGAATGTATATTCTCTCATTTTGGAATGGGAAGTTCTATAAATGTGAATTAAGTTTGTTTCCTCTGATGTGTCATTTAAGGCCAATATTTGCTTGTAGACTTTCTCAGGGATCTATCCTTTGCTGTGAGTAGGGTATTTAGGTTCCCAACCATAATTTTATTTTACTCCATTTCTCTCCTTTGCGTCTGTTAATAATTGCTTCATGTATTTTGGTACTCCTAGGTTGGATGCATATATATTGATGTATTATGTCTTGAGGAATTTTCCCCTTTATTATTAGAGAATGTTCATCTTTGTCTCTTCTTTTTTTTTTTTTTTTATCCTCACCCGAGGATATTTTCCCATTTTTTGTACAGATAGAGTGGGAGGGAGAGAGAGGAAGGGAGAGAGAGTGAGAAACATCGATGTGAAGGGACACATCGAGTGGCTGCCACCCGCACGACCAACCATGGCCGGGGACAAACTGCAACCGAATTACGTGCCCTTAGCGGGAACGAAACCCGGATCTCTCCGGACCGCAGGCCGACACTCTAACTGCTGAGCCAAACTGGCCAGGGCTCTTGTTACCTTTTTAAAAAAAATCTTGAAATCTAGTCTGCTACATGCTGGATGCCAGTTGCTGGGAGTATCATGTTCTATCCCTTCATTTTGAGCCTGTCTTTGGAGCTGACATGATCTCCTGCAAGCGACATAATAGTTGGGTCTTGTTTTATAATCCGTTCTTTGCCCCTGTTCTTTTGATTGGTGGATTTAGTCCATTTACATTTAGGGTGATTATTAATACATGAAAACTAACTACAGCCATTTTATCTTTTGTTTTCTGGTTGCTCTATATCTTCATTGTTTCCTTAAAAGTATTTTTGTTAAATACATACGTGTGTGTGTGTGTTTGTGTATGTCTGATGGTGAGGCAAATGTGTAATGGCCACTGTAATGAGAAGGCATCTTCAGACTGAAAGATGAAGTGGGCAACTTCATAGAATATAACAGAATTTATTATAAGGTAATTTCCTTATGGGAAGATTTGGTTGCAGTGGAAC